GGGAGGCTGAGGCAGGAGGATCGCTTGAGCCCAGGAGTTTGAGGTTGCTGTGAGCTAGGGAGACGCCACGGCACTCTAGCCCGGGCAACAGAGCAAGACTCTGTCTCAAAAAAATAAAATAAAAAAAACAAAAAAACCCATGAAAACTATTGGCCTATTTTGTATGGTTAATGTCATTTGATGCCTCTTAAATGAAAATAATTTCTTCATAAATCACAGAATTTCAAAACATGTAACTAAAAGCATTTAATAATCTTAAAAAGTCACTTCAAACAAAACGCACATTGAGAACAGTCAGTAGCCTCACTGACATCCGTCTAGCATAGAACAGAATCTGGCAGTTTCACATGACAGCAGTTTACATCCACCACGTTAAGATGGTAAATGGAACCGAATCCAACTGTTCCAGTAAGGACAGGATTAGGCTCCTGACCAACCAAACCTGAGTTCCTCGACTCCAGCGGTAAGCAAATCAAACAGACTTCGTGTCTGTAAAATCATTACCACCCTGCAGGGCTCTACAACCTCACCACACACTCATGGGTACTAAGCACATTATCGCCCAAATGATGATGTTCCACCAGCCCTCAAATGCAATTCCTACATTTTAAAAATTAAAAAACCCAGCTGGTGCAGTGGCTCACACCCATAATCCTCGCACTCTGGGAGGCCGAGGCAGGAGGATCGCTTGAGCTCAGGAGTTCGAGACCAGCCTGAGCAAAAGCGAGACCCTGTCTTTACTAAAAATTGAAAAAATTAACCAAGTGACTAAAAATAGAAAAAATTAGCTGGGCGTGGTGTCATGTGCCTATAGTCCCAGCTCCTCAGGAGGCTTAGGCAGGAGGATCGCTTGAGCCCAGGGGCTCGAGGTTGCTGTGAGCTAGGCTGATGCCATGGCACTGTAGCCGGGGCAATAGAGCAAGACTCTGTCTCAAAAAAAATAAAAAATAAAAAAACCAACACTTTTCTATAACATATGGTGGCAAAACCTCCCCTAACCTACATGATGTTACTTACTGTTTTTATTTATCTCATGTGTTTCTTCACAGAGATGCTCCTGAGCTAGACCCGGGTTTGCTGTCCCCAGTGTCACAGAGGGTGTCATGTGGACCTCAGTACTTTACTAAACTACAATTTTGACTTTTCAAATGCATTTGGCCCCAAGAGTTCTGGTCCACGCCTGTGCATCTGCAGTGTTCTGAAGAACCAGAACACCACGCCTGTCATTCCGTCTATGCAGCTTCGCTTTATCGTCTGTCTCACCATCGGAGTGGAGGCCCCATGAGGGCACGGTGGGTGGTCACTGTGTGTCTCCACTGCAGGCACTGAACAATCCATCCCCAAACCACAGGACAGGAGGTCGTGGGTGATCAACCCACAAGCTGTGGCGCAGACCCTGACATAACCATGAGCACACACCACCAACCCTTCCAGGGAAGACCCGTGCCCAAAAAGCAACTGGCCAGGAAGAACGAACACCAGGGACTTGCCCAGAATCATGCTCTTGTCTCAGATTTTTGAAAATTCTAACAAGTTCTTACTGCTGGAAGTGGGGTAGGTAACAGCTTCTCAAGTTCACACCCCCGATAACAGGTGGCCATTTAATTTAGTGATGAGAATGTCTACTTACCACCAGATTCCAGCGCAAAGTCTACCATCCCAGTCTTGTCCTGGGAATACAGCTTCAAAGCGTTGTTCACAATAACATGCGCTTGCTGGACAAGGTGAAACAGAAGAGACTCGGGTTTAATGACACAAAGGAAGCCTAGGTGCTCGTATTGAGAGCATATTTTTAATGAGGTCCACATGGGGGATGACAGGCATGGGCTGTCTCAGCAACTCCATGCTCAGACAGGGACGGGAGGGCACAAGAGCCTCTCCACTCAGAGCTCAGCCACAGTCACAGTAAATCTTGGAACCAGAGGAGCCCCCTGGGTACCGTAAAACACGAAGGAAGCAAGGATTAGACTTTGGGACTGGACTACAGGGAATCTGGGTTTACTGGGGAATTTGTATGCCGTATCGGAAGGTACTTGCGGCCACATAGGTAGACAGGATCTCTGGGACAGAAAGACTCACAGTGACACAGTACGCCCAAGCAGCAGATGAACGATGTCACCCACAGCTAAGACTCACTGAGTGGCCACCTGCCCTGAACTCAGCACCGTGCTGAGCACACCCCGCCATCACCTTACTTACACCACTGCACCCCATTTTTAGAAAACATCACAGTCCGCTAGCTTAATAACTAGGTAACCCGCCTCAGCCTGATGTGGGCATCAAGCATTCCTCAGTGCCGACTCACCGCTTCTGTTATTCCAGAAACCCCCGCCTCATTCACAGCAGACACAACGGTCTCTGAAGTGGGCATCTGTTTTGTCACAGAAATGTGGTGGGTGATGTTCTTCAGTATCTGCAGCTCTAAATCTCGTAATAAAATCTGCAAGTCATCTTTGCTTACAAATTGAGAAGAAAACTTTTGTAGCAGCCATTCAAGAGAATCGTCTTGCTGATCTTCAGAAAATATGAGTTTGACAGTTTCTCTGACTTGGGCATCTACCTGGTAACATAATTAGTAAATATAACATGAATTTACTGTCTTACCTAAATCATTTCAATTCCTCACATACATTATCTTAGCTACCTCTGAAGTATCACCCATCCTCACAAAATGTATAATGTAAATGTGACACAATTTTCCTTCATATCAAATTTAAGAACCCCTCTAAAAATGCTGGAATATATTAAAGAGACTAGGAATAGACAAAAGCATGGTATCAATGAAATTTACACCCACGTAGCTAAAGAAAGAGAGAGGTTATGTCCACATTGCTCAGCCAGCGTGCTCCCACTTGGCAGGCATCCACTGCGCGCTGCATAGGTTAGCCAGAGATGCATGAAAGAGCCCCTTGCTTTCAGCAAACTTGGTCTCGTAAGAAAACAGGCACATAAAAAAACCTCAGTGTAACTTTATGTATGCTAAATATGTTCGTGTGTCTTATTTCTGTGCACATATATCATTCTGTACACACAATTCTCTTTTTGCTTTGTAAGGAACGGAGTATGGCGGAAGCACAAGAAAAGCAGAACTTCCCGTGATAGAGCACCGGCAGTGCGCTCACTCAGAACAGCTCCACGGACGTGCCGCTGCTCAGCCCACACTCCTGAGACAGTGCTCTGGCTGCCTCCTTGCCCTCACCCCGCCAACGCTAACCGCACTGCAATGGGTTCTTACGGCCTCTGTGCTCGGCACTTTTGTTTCTGTAGGGTGATTTCCAGGAGTGTGGTTGCTGGTTTCAAAGCAGGTGGGTATTTGTAACTGGTTACTGTCACAAGGTTTTCCCCAAAGGCTGTGGGTGTTTCACCATCCCACTAGCCACAAGAAAGCCCACTGCCCGTGGTCAGCGCTGGCGCCAGTTGTCACTCCTGTGGATCTACAAGCTTTAATCTGCAAATCCAATTAGTAAGACGCTTTGTATGTCTCCACCGTTTCTCTTCCTGCCAATTCTAGGTGCTCTCTGCACATTAGAGAAAATTTTACCATTTGTGTTACAAATACTTTTTCTAATCAACTGCCTTCTGTCTTCTGCCATTCGAATGCTTGTGTTTTCATCCTCAAGCAGCTATGAATGTCTAGATTTTCTCCTCTACTGAAGGATGCACAGACCCGGGGCAAGTCGGTGATATGTCATGGCAGGAAAGAGAGCTCGTGGCAGGTGCAGCATGAGGCTACGTGGATGCAGAGACACAAAACCCCACCCAGATCAGTCCTGGCACACAGCTGTGTGCACATGAACAAGGAAGGGAAGACACACACCAAGTACTGGTGTGTTACACTGCTTAATGGGGGAAATCTGAGGAGCAAATTTGAATGTGTTATTTTCAAATGTTTAGAAACTTCAAATATAGTTGGTTTTTAAAGGAAGTGAAATTAAACAACTTAATAAATCTAGGTCATCAAACTCAACTTTTCTCTTACTCTCCATTATGAAACAAGACGTAAACGCAGAGGAAACGTACTTTTTCGCGTGTCATATCCACCTTCTCGCAGCTGGTCTTCTCATGCTGCCAACTTGACAGCTCCGACCGCAGGTGACCCAGCTCCAGCTCGAGACGCCTGACAGTGGACAGGAGCTGCTGCCCATCGGCCCCGCTGGAACTGGGTGACGAGCACACATGAGTTACACATCGCGAGCCACCTGTGCTTAAATGCTCCCCACACACACTAGACAAGTCAACACTGTAAAGACACCAACCTGTGCTGCGCTGACATAGATACCTAATGCCACTTGCAAATCAAAATCCCAGAGGGACACCCCCCCCATAGGTGCCTAATATACAAACACACATACCACACACATAGGCTCTCTCCCAAAATGCTATCAGCGGTGGTTATCTTTTTAGTGACAGTTAAACAATTTAGTATTTAAAAGCTGTATCTATTTCCTTAAAATTATAAATAAGACTGCAGAAACGAGAATATTTATCAATAATCATTATAAAATTGAATCTAAATTTTCATGTTAATGGAATAATCGCACTAAAAATACATGGCTTCAGGGTTTGTTTTAATAATTCTATTTTATGTAGGTACTGTATATTATAAAATACTGTAATGTATTTATATTTGTTTATAGGTAGATACAGTGGCTGACATACTAACAATTCATCTCTTAAAAAAGTACACTCCTGGATAAACACTCCAGGGGCTGCACACTGGCATATCAGAGCACCTTTTAACTGAAACAGAGGCCCTAGGAGGAAGAAAAATATGCTCTGTACTTACATCCCCCTTCAGAGGGGGCGCAGGGTCTCAGGTCTACACTTACATCCCCCTTCAGAGGGGGACAGGGTCTCAGGTTTACACTTACATCCCCCTTCAGAGGGGGACAGAGTCTCGGGTCTACACTGACATCCCCCTTCAGAGGGGGACAGGGTCTCAGGTCTACACTGACATCCCCCCTTCAGAGGGGCGCAGCATCTCAGGTCACGGCACGGGGTCCACAGAAACACACAGGAGCAAAGCAGAGGAGGACACGCTACCAAGGTAAAGCTCTGTACAGTCCCCTGTGTCCAGCCATGGCAATTATTGGAATCACCAAAGAAGTAAATTTAGACAAAGGGGATAAGGGGTGTGGAGAGAGCTTGCTCTGGGATAAAATTAAAGGTATGGAAAAAAAGATGCAGCTCTGGGAGTATCAGTGAAAGGGAAGCACTACGCTTCAAAGCGGCTGCAGGCAAACTGACAGGCACGCAGGCCAAGTGGTCTGGCAGTGAGGAGCCAAACACCAGGATCCCAGGAGACTACAGAGGGACCAGGCCGACTACTCAGCAGAGAAACACCTCAGCAGAGGTACAAGAGCTGCTGATGTCAAGGGCCTAGAAAGGCTGGCAGCTGTCTGGGAGAGCCACCTGCTGACGGGCCTGGCCTGGAACATGCTTTCCAGAGGCAGGGGTCCTGCCTGCGGAGGGGCTGTGGGGCTGTGGGGCAGGAGGGATGACGGCCGAGCTTTAACTCAGGTCTACCTTGATGCAAACAGCCAGCAGAGGCCCGGCCTGGAGTCCACTGTGACAAGAGCTCCGAGGCCAGCCCTTCACGCACACCCAGGCAGGGGCACCCATTGGGCGTGGGGAACAACTGACAGTCAACATGGAGAGGGGGATGCAAAAGGCCCCTCAGGATCCCTCTGCCCTTGTGTGGCTCCAGAGGGATCCCCAGAAGGACACACAGCTGCGTGTGTTTCAACCATAATGATCAGGTACTTCAGGTGATGACGGGTGGGTGTCCGAACCAGCACCCTCATTATTATTGCTGCCGCTCCAAATAACCAAAAGGAGAAACACAGAAGACAAAATAGTAAATTATTTGAAATTATCCTACCTAGTCGTTTTTAGCTTGGTCTGTTCTAATTCCTTCTGGATGGCCTAAAAAGTATGAGAAACAATCTATTTAAATTCACAGTTATATGCTGACTCCATAAAACCATATACTTGATCAAATCAAAAAACATTTTTTATCTGGACATTTCCCCTCTTAGTTCAAAGTCCACACCTGCCAGGTGGCTCACAAGTTGGGGTGTGTATTTAATACTTCAAAGTAAACCTTTAAAAGACATCACGTGTACTCAGAGATGCTCCTGTGCACACATCTCACAGGGATCACATATACTCAGAGATGTTCCCGTGTGTGCATCTCACAGGGATCACGTGTACTCAGAGATGCTTCTGTGCACACATCTCACAGGGACCATGTATACTCAGAGATGTTCCCATGTGTGCATCTCACAGGGATCATGTATACTCAGAGATGCTCCTGTGCACACATCTCACAGGGACAGCTTAATGAGTTTTTAAAATTTGCAGCTCCTATAACCAGCACCCAGGCTGAGAGACAGAACACTGCCACCATCTCTGGAGAATGTATTTTAAGTGTGGAAGGAAAAGGAAAAGACAAATTTACACATGAAGATGCGACTTATTAATATGGTGTGTTCAAAGATGTCTGAGATAGCAACACTATACTACACTGAATAACAGCATCTGTTCAAACTCTGCCTTAACAGAAGTCTTCATAACTCTGACACAGGACAAGGCAACCCCATATGAAATGGATTCTAGACCCTTTCACAGGTGAGCTAATTCCTGCCCTTGGCTGGCTGCTCTCAGCCCCTCCCCTTCCTTTCAGCTAAGCTCCCCTGACTCTCACAGGGTCTGTAATGCAGGAGCCGGTCCTGAGATCTCCCCAAACACTAAATCTAATCCTTAGGTTCATCACGTTTTACAACTTAGTTCAACGAACATATGAATATCTAATATGCCAGGCTTGTGTTAAGTACTGGAGATGCAAAGAACCTGAACTTGAGCACTTCGTAATCTCCGTAGCTGAGATCAACACAAACACTCTGGCCTTCTTCCTCTGGCTTTACCAACATCTAACAGCAACAGACTTTCTGACCCAAAATTAATGTTGTCTGTCAAAAGGTTCAGGTCCTTTATTCTTCCTCTAAACACAATGTAATCCTGGTGGAGGCTGTGTGATCCTGAGGAAAAACAGGGACTCTGGAACCAGGAATAGCTGGACTAGAATCCAGAGGCTTCCCCCTCATCCACAGCCCTGCTCTGACCCTCAAAAGACACGTGGAGCCGGTGGGTCAGGCACACCGACTGAACTTTTTAAAGCAAGAAAGCGAAATTGCCAGAGGAAAACGGAAAGAAACATTTCTTTCAGTTTTACCAAGGACAACAGCAAATACCACAAAAGAAGGCATATTAAATGGCTAAGGAACTTTAAAATATTAACTGCAACTGATTTTTCTTTTATTACAAAATCACTTTGTTGGGGACTATAATTATAAGGTCAAGAATAAATACCTCAGATTTTTCTGTCAGTTTTCCAAGAATGTCTTCCAAGTTTGAGATACGGACTTCATGTTCTTGACGGAAAGTCATAAAGTCAGTCTTAGAAGAAAAGAAAATGAATGAACAAATGATAAAGTTAAGCAACAAACAAAAACATATCAAGTTTGGCAAGGTCATTTCTACACAGAATATTTAAAAACTGGAGATTATTTGGTCCCAACTTGGCACAGCACCCTTAAAGGAGTAATCGCCTAGTACTGTTCTTATCGTCATCTCTGACTTCAGAGATATTGAACTTGTGTTAAAATGCACAAATAGCTTTTCTAGTTACATAAGAACATTAACAAAGACGTCCTGGCCGGGCGCGGTGGCTCACTCCTGTAATCCTATCACTCTGGGAGCGTGAGGCAGAAGGATCGCTTGAGCCCAGGAGTTTGAGGTTGCTGTGAGCTAGGCTGACGCCACGGCACCCTAGCCCAGGCAACACAGTGAGACTCTGTCTCAAAAAAAAAAAAAAAAAAAAAAAAAAAAAAAAGAAGTCCTAAAAATAACAGACAACACTGTAGAGAGCAATTACTACTCATCCAACAAACACTCATTAGGGACCCACTATATTTAATGATTTAAAATAAAATAACCAAGGATTAAGATACACGATACACTTATTTCCCCCTTGATTGTTTCGTATTCATACGAAATGTTATGACATATAAACATTTATTAGGAATAAACCAACCAGAACATTTCCCCAGAACACTAGATGATACCACTAAGAACCAAGGCTTCCTCAGACAATTTAAGTAATGTGTTACACAGCTGACAGGACAAGTGACAACACCAGCTAAGGGGCCCACTTAGTGAAGAACAAAGTGTTTGCAACATAAGCTACCTGTTGAAAAACAGCAGTTTGTTTCTACCAATCAATTCTTAGGAAGATAAACTCATAGCAAGATTATTGGAAATACCCCCGGGAAGATCTAGAAAAATCACTGCTAATCACACGATGGCAAAGAAAGGACTGTACGTCCTGAATGACTAAAATCCAGGTCACAGAGAGAAGTACAGACTAATCCAATATCCTGATATCTATACGATATTTATATCCCACCTCATTCTAAAACATCATCAAAACACTTGCTTCAGTGGCACACACACCAATATCAGAACGACACAAAGAAGAACAGCATGGTCCCTGCACAAGGATGATACGTACACTGGTGACACGTTCCACGTTTTTACTTGACCTAAAGAGACAGACAACACGGTAACAGCGGGGACGTCAACAACCCACTCACAGCACCAGACTGATCATCAGACAGAAAATCAACAAGGAAACACTGGATGCAAACTGGACTTTAGACCAAATGGACCTAACGGACATTTACAGAACATTCCACCCAACAACTACAGAATACATTCTTTTTACCAGCACATGGAACGTTCTCCAAGACAGACCACAAGTTAGGCCACAAAACAAGTCTTAACACATTTTTTAAACATCCAAATCATATCAAGTATCTTCTCAGACCACAGTGGAACAAAGCTGGAAATTGCCAAGAGGAACTTTAGGAACCACACAAATATGTGGAAATTAAAAAACACACTCTTCAAAGACCACCGAGTCAACAAAGAAATGTAGACAGAAATTCAAACGTTTTTTTAAATGAATGAAAATGAAAACACAACATATCAAAATCTGTTGATACAGCAAAAGTAGTGCTAAGAGGGAAGTTTATAGGTTTAAATGCCTACACCAAAAAAGCAGAAAGATCACAAATTAACAAACTAAAGTCACACCTCAAGGAACTAGAAAAATAAGAACAAACCAAACCCAAAGTTAGCAGAAGAAAAGTAGCAACAAAGATTAGAGCTGAACTAAATGAAATAAAGACCAAAAACAAAACAAAACAAAAATCCAATACAAAGGATCAGTGAAAAGATGGTTTTTTGAAAATATAAAAAAAATTTACAAACCATTGCTTGACATTCTATGCTAAATAAAAATAAAATAAAACAAAAAATTGACAAACCACTAGCTAGATTAGCCAAGAAGAGAGAAGATCCAAATAAAATCAGAAATGAAAAAGGAGACATTATAACTGATACTACAGAAATACAAAAGATCATGAAAGACTATATGTGAACTATATGTTCACATACTCGAAGACCTAGAGGAAATGGATAAATTCCTGGAAACATATAACCTCCAGAGATTAAACCAGGAAGAAACAGAACTTCTGAACAGACTAGTAATGACTAGTGAGGTTGAATCAGTAATAAAAAAATCTTCCAACAATAAAAAGCCCAGGACCAGATGGATTCACAGGTAATTTCTACCAAGCATACAAAGAACTAATGCCAATCCTCCCGGAACTGTTCCAAAAAAACTTGAAGAGGGAATTCTCCCTAACTCATTCTACAAGGCCATTATCACCCTGATACCAAAACCAGAAAAAGCACAACAAAAAAAGAAAACTATAGACCAATATCCCTGATGAACACAGAAGCAAAAATCCTCAACAAAATACCAACAAACGGAATTCAACAGCACATCAAAAGGATAATACACCATGATCAAGTGGGCTTTTCTTAAAACCAGGAATGCAAGGATGGTTCAACATAAACAAATCAATAAATGTGATACATCCTATAAACAGAATGAAGGACCAAAACCATATGATCATTCTCAACAGATGCAGAAAAAGCATTTGATAAAAGTCAGCATCCCTTCAGGATAAAAATCCTCAACAAACTAGGCATTGAAAGAACACACCTCAAAATAATAAAGGCCATATATGAGAAACCCACAGCCAACATCGTGCTGAATGGGGAAGCATTCCCCTGAGAACTGGAACCACACAAGGATGCCCACCATCACCACTCCCACGCAACATAATATTAGAAGTCCTCGCCAGAGCGATTGGGCAAGAGAATGAAATAAAACGTATCCAAATAGGAAAAGAGGAAGTCAAGCTGTCCCTGTTCACTGATGATATGATCTTACATGTAGAAAACCCTAAAGAATCCACCAAAAATTCTTAGATCTGAAAAATGAATTCAGTAAAGCTGCAGGATACAAAATCAATACACAGAAATCAGTAACAGTTCTAATACACCAATAATGATCTAGCTGAGAACGAAATCAAGAAAGCAATCCCATTTACAACAGCTATAAAAAAATAAAATACCTAGGAATATATTTAACACATTAACTTCCATGTGAATTGTATTTAGCTCATGCTAGTTTTGAACCCGGGGCCTGGTGAAGCATATGTAACTCACACGTCTCTTCACCTAGGGAGCCTCGAGAACTATTTTTCAAGTTGCATATAACTCACGTTCAGAAAACAATAAAAAAAAAATTTTTTTTTCATTAAATTAGAAAAGATTATTTTGTTTTCAAAGTTTTTATTCTATTTTCATAATAAAACACTGTGGCAGTCAATGTGTTAACCAAGGAGATGAAAGATCTCTACAAGGAAAACTGCAAAACACTGATGAAAGAAACTGCAGATGAAACAAAGAGAAAAACATCCATGCTCACGGATCAGAAGAATTAATATTGTTAAAATGACCATAATGTCCAAAGCACTCTACAGGTTCAATGCAATCCCTATCAAAATACCAGCATCATTTTTCACAGATTTAGAAGAAACAATTTCTAAAGTTCATATGGAACCAAAAAAGTTTCTGAACAGCCAAAGCAATCTTGGGGGAAAAAAATACAAAGTTGGAGACACCACACTGCCTGACTTCAAATGAAATTATCCTACAAGGCTGCAGTAACCCAAATGGCAAGGCACTGGTATAAAGCCAGTAAACCTGGATCAATGGAACACACAAAGCACCCTGAGATAAGGCCGTGTACTTAGAGCCAAATGATCCTTGACAAAATTGACAAGAACATACGCTGGGGAAGGACACCCTTTTCAATAAGTGGTGCTGGGAAAACTGGATTGTCATTTGCAGAAGAATGAAACTGGACCTGTCTCTCACGATATACAAAAGTCAACTCAAGTGGGATTAGAGATTTGAATGTAAGACCTGAACCTATAAAAATCCTAGAAAAAAACCTAGGGAACACTCTTCTGAACACTGGTCTAGGCACAGAATTCATGACTAAGACTTCAAAAGCACAGGCAACAAAAACAGAAATAGACAAACGGAACCTATTAAACTACGAGGCTTCTGCACAACAAAATAAATAATCAACAGAGAGAACAGACAACCTGCAGAATAGGAGAAAATGCTTGCAAACCATGCATCCAACAGGGGACTAATATCCAGAATTTACAAGGAACTCAACGCAACAGAAAACCTACAAATAACCCATTAAAATGTGGGCTAGGGACATGAATAGACATTTTTCAAAGGACAAGTGGCCAACAAATAAATGCAAAAATGTTCAACATCACTAATCAACAGAGAAATGCAAATTAAAACCACAATGAGAGATCATCTTACACCAATCAGAATGGCTATACTAGAAAGACAAAAGATAACAGACGTTGGTGAAGACATGGAGAAAAGGGACCCCTTGCACACTGTTGGTGGGAATGTAAATTAGTACAACCTCCACAGAATGCAGTACAAAGATTTCTCAAAGAACTAAGAATAGAACTACCATACAATCCAGTAATCCCATTACTGGGTCTCTACCCAGAGGAAAAGCAATCAATGTATAAAAAAGACACCTGCACTAATATGTTTATTGCAGCACTATTCAATATAGCAAAGACAGGGAACCAACCCAGGCGTCCTTCAATGGAGGACGGGGTAAAGAAAATGTGGTGCGTATGCACAATGGAATGCTTTTCAGCTATAAAAAAGAATGAAATCATGTCTTTTGCTGCCACATGGATGGAAGTGGAGACCATTATCTTAAGTGAAACAGATTAGACACAGAAAGACAAGTAAGGCAGGTTCTCTAAGTGGGAGTAAACAACATGCGCACGTGGAAGCAGAGGGTAGAACAATAGACAATGGAGACTCAGCAGGGTGTGGGGTGGAGGGTGGATGATGGGAGGTTGTTTGGTGGGTAAAATGTGTGTTGCTCCAGATACGGATGCACGGAAGGCCCTGTCTTCACCACAACACAATAATATCAACATAGCAAAAGTGCACTTGTATCCCATGAATATATACAAATAAAAAATTTTAAAAACGATGCTGTGTAGTGGATCACACCTGTAATCCCAGCACTTTGAGGCCGACGCAGGAGGATTGCTTCAGGCCAGGAACTTGAGACCAGTCTGGGCAACATAGTGAGACCCTGTCTCCACAAAAAATTTAAAAATTAGCTGGGTGTGGTGGCGCGCACCTGTGGTCCCAGCTACTCGGAAGGATGAGATGGAAGGATCACTTGAGCCCAGGAGTTCAAGGCTGCAGTGAGCTGTGATCTCACCACTGTATTCCAGCCTGGGCAACAGAGTGAGACCTCATCTC